GTGCGTGGGTGATATGCGTGAGGACGTCACCTAAGTCACTCGTGATGAGATCATTGGCCTGGTTAATAATTATCAAGTTATTACTGTGTGGACGGCGTTGCCTTTGATATGCATGTCGAAGGTGTGAATCGTGCTTACGCGGGTGATAGGCGTGATAAAGTCGCGTGAGTTACATTGTGTCACTCATTCATGGATTTTCCCTGTTAATTTCACTCCAAAGCTATTCACTCCACGCATTCCCGAAAATTCTGGGTCGTTTTGAAGTCACAATGTCATCAGGATTAAATTCACTGGCGCCCGCATTAAATCGGCTGGCGGTTGGATTAATTTCAGTGGCACTTGGATTAAAATGAATGGCACCTGGATTAATTTCAGTGGCGGCTGGATTAAATTGACTGGCGCCTAGATTAATTTGACTGGCGCTTGGATTAAATTGAGCGGGAAAACCTGTAGTAGCAAACGTCAAAATTGCCGATCTTGAAGGCCAAGTACAAAGACTCTCACTCCTACGTAGGCAGCGCTGCCATAAATGACCGGCGTTTCGCGCTTATCCGGCAGGCACAAGAAATCTAGGAGGCGTTGCCACTACAAACCAACGAAGGGATAGACCAAGGAGGATACAAAAAACTTGCTGGAGTGGAAGCCGCCTATGCGCCGCTACTAGAGAGAGTGAAGCCGCGCCGAGCGTGCGGCGGCCATGTTGCCAGTGGCAGAATAGAGCCGAGCGCTGCAAATTTATGCTTCATCGCGCTGCGGGTGAAGTGACTCGTGTTTATATAAAGCAACGAAAACAAGTAATTCTGGTTGTAAATGTTTATTGTGACTTGTACGCAGCCAAGTGGCATGTAGAGAACTCAATTAAATTGCATATGCATCAAATAGCGATGCCTAAAGCAAACACATCATCGAAAACATAGGTGCCCTACTGGTGGTTGAAAATTATTGCCCTTGTCAAAAGTGGTCCCACCTCACTTTTGACCGATTCTCGTTTTTTTTTTCCTTCGTCATGTGTTCTATCCTCACTTTTACGTATTGTTCGGCGATTTGCCTGCACAAACTGTAAACCTTATTATCAAGCGTATCAAAGTCTAGGACGTGCTGCTCTAGTTTATGGAACAGTTTTTCTCGGAGGAAGCTCATAGAACTTTCAGGATGAGGTGTTTTGCTCTTGACTTCACCGTTGTGATGGAATCACATTCAGCCTGTAGCCGCCTCATTCCTCGACTTCTTTACAGAGGCTAATGACATCTCGCGAAGGTGAAACAAGACCACCTCGCCTCTTACATTTAATTAAAGGTGTCAGCTCATCTGAGTGCATGGCTGCTATACACTCTTCACAGGTAGTTGTTCGACCTTTCGAACAATGAAGCCTGCTATGTATGGCACCACGGAACCGACAAAAACAGAAAAGCTTTCGGGCTAGTCAATGCGATGCATGCGTATTGTCGTGGTCATCGGGCGGCAGAACTGGGGCCTTGCGCATGTCAGTGAGATTGCTTCTTGGATCTACCATGGCTGCAGGAGTCGTTGCATTCAATACGGAGACATCTTCGGAGCAGTGTCCAGAACTTGAAGACGTGACTTCCGTCGGAACCGACGCTTGTATGCAGCCATAAACTGCGAAACTGTTGGGTTGTTGTTATGACCGCCTCATCCACGTATTGATTCAAAGAAGTTTTCGGCATAGTCTTGACTGAGTTTGTGTGTCAGTAAGTATTTCAGCTGACCCTGGCTGACAAGTCTGTCAAACATTCTTTTCGTGCTTGCCATGCGTGTCCAAAAACAAATGAATCCGTTTTTTTTTTTTCAGTCCTTCTGTCACTGCCGGATCTCTCAGCCCGTTTATGTACGCTTGAGTCTCCGCAAAAAAAAAAAAAAAAAAAAACGACTTCTAGAATGCTTCGTTCCCCTGCTGAAGGGGCGCTTTGTACGACCTTGCCAGCGGGTTCCTGGAGTTTTAAGATGTCAAACAACCGATCAAAAGTTCTAATAAACGTACATCTTGTGCTGGCACCCTTGAATTGCGGCAGCTTTAGCTTTTGTTCGCAGAAGTCTAAAGCGTCGGCAACTGAGGCACGCGATCAGTTGTACAGCATATCATACCTTCAATTTCTTGCTTTTCCCATTGGACGTGGACTTTCGTAAGTTTGTTTCCGAGCCACAACCCTTCTTCACGTTGAAGTGCCTTCAATGCCATTTCATAACCCCAGTTCACATGCTTCCCTTCAATGTCAAAGAGGTGGTCAAAGCCCTCTGACGCGAAGTGCAAAGTGATCTCAGTCTTTCGCATTCCACTTCTCACGGCGAATGGCCCACTCCCAGAGGCTCCGCATTACGGGATCTTTAGGAAAGCTGTAAAACAAATCCGGACTGTTATGTTTTGCACGCTTAGATCGCGTCAGCTATAGCTCTCTTTAGTAACGAGCGCGGAATGGCTATGTCGAAGACGTTTTCGTGTACATACAGGTGGAATATGAGGCCACAACCTTTCTTCAACCTGTTGGCACATCCGTGAACGACGCAAGAGGCAACCATTGTGAACCATTTGTCTTTACATGCCGACAAGGTGAAACAAGAACGAACGAAATCAGCAGCTCGCGATGGCACGGAGCACGCTTTTTGCCAGTGGCAAGATGGCGGCAGCTGGCTTCACTCGCACAGCGCCCCTTCCACTCCAGCAAGTTTTATGTATCCTCCTTGGGATAGACACAGTATGCAGTGCGTGTGGAGAGGAAGGAGAAACTGCCGAACACTGGATAATGTTCTGTAAAGGGCTTCACCCTATAGTTCAGGATGAAGGCGCAAAGTTTTTCAAAGCACTGGGGTTTAGGGACAGTGTGGACGAAATAAACTTTAATCGGGTAGACTTAACTAGAAGGAGGTTATCTGATTGGTGGCTGAATTCAAGGCACGAGTGAAAATTAAGCCCTTCACTGCAAAGTACCTGTCCAACTTTACTATTTAAAGGAAAAAAAAAGATAAATCCAGTGGTTAGTTCACTAAGTATTACGGCTAGGTGGCGTTAGCCGCCGCTCGATCTACTTTTTCTCATTCTACTTTCGCACTGGCGCGAAAGTAGAATGAGTTTGATCTACAAAGGCAAGGGAGAAAGGGACAAGGCGAGCTCTTACAGGCCGATTACAGTCGCGTCAGTGCTCTATAGAGTAGCTATACAAGCCATCAAGGCCGAGTTGTTGAAGTGGGTTGAAAGTAACGGTATTTTAGGGGAACTGCAAAATGGATTTAGGCCGGGTCGACGCTTGGAAGACAATCTTTTCGTCATATCCCAGACCATCGAAATTTCGGCAGCACAGGGCAGACCAACATGGCTACTGTTTCTGGACATAAAGGGTGCCTATGACAACGTGGACAGGGGATTGCTGTGGCATATACTGGAAGAGGAGGGGATTGGGTCGGAATTTGTAGGGCTGCTAAGGGCAATATATGAGGATAACAGGGCACACATTACATGGGAAGGGCGTACATACACAGAGCCCGTGTTCATTCGAGGAGGTTTAAAACAGGGGTGCCCTCTTTCGCCATTACTGTTCACACTGTACATTAGAGGAATGGAAAGACGACTAGAGGAGAGTGGATTGGGCTTTGATTTGTCACACCGAAGCAATGGAGTGTTAGTGGAGCAACGGATTCCGGGATTGATGTACGCAGACGATATAGTGCTGCTGGCGGATAATGCGGAAGAACTTCAAAAACTGGCTGACATTTGTGGTGATGAGGCAACGTACCTAGGCCTACATTTTAACCCACAGAAATCTGGAGTCATGGTGTTCAACGAGGAAGCTCATGTAGCACCAATAAGGATACAACAGGAAGCCATACCATTAGTAAATAAGTACAAATACTTGGGGATCTGGCTTAATGAAGGAAAAGGCTACCTGCATGAATGCTCATGAAGAACACCTCAAACTGAAAGGGAGACGAAATGCAGCAGTATCGAAACATAGAGCACTTTGGGGATACAATAAGTACGAGGTAGTACGAGGCATCTGGAAAGGGGTAATGGTGCCGGCGCTCACGTTCGCTAATGCCGTATTATGCTTAAAGTCAGATATCCTGTCGGGGCTGGAGGTTAACCAAAAGGCAGTCGGCAGGCTAGCTCTGGGAGCTCACAGTAAGACTACAAACGAGGCTGTACAAGGCGATATGGGTTGGGCTTCATTTGAGGCGAGGGAAGCACAAAGTAAAATACGGTTTGAGGAGCGACTTAGACATTTAGATGAGAAGAACTGGGCAGCCAGAGTGCACAGGTACCTGTACCTTAAAAGTGTGGACACCCAATGGCGGAAGAGGACACGAAAGCTGGCGACTAAATATAACTTGACCGCGGCAAATAAACAAAGGGGGCCAGTTAAAAAGCAAGTGAGGGAAACAGAGACGCTCATGTGGAAAGAGAGGATGGAAAAGAAGGGATCGGTGGGAATCTACAAGGCAAGTAAACAAGAGATCCGGAAAGAGAACTTTTATGACAACAATAAAAATAAATAAATAAATAAAGGTAGTGCGTTGCTCTTTGAGGCGCGGGCTGGCTGCTTGAGAACTCTAACTTACAGGAGCAAATATTCGTCACAGGATGAGACATGTGTTGGATGTGGCATAAATAAAGAAACAATCGACCACATAGTCATGGAATGCCAAAAGATTCAGCCGGATAGAAATGGGGGGAAAGTCACACTCCCTGAGGCGCTGGGCTTCGCGGTGGACGGAAGCATTAACTGGTCAGCAGTAGGTATTACTAAGCAGCGGCTGGAGTATTGGTGGAGGAAAAGCAGAGAAGTCGATAAAATAACATCCCACCCAAGAGTAGTGGCTGGGCAAAATTAAAAAGACATCCGAGTTGAGGGACAAAACTTAAACTCGAACTATTAAGGTAGGCTAGATGGCGCATGCTGTTACCCTGATTCAAAGAGGAGGCCTTTAATCATCATTATCATCATCATCATCTAAAGTGTACAGCCACATACATCCATCCACCCATCCATCCAACCATCTAGAACACTGTACAGTAGGTGTTCTGTGACCGTACCTCAGCCTTGATTCGGAACGAGTAGTAGGTGTACTCTGGAACTACTGCGCCATTTAGAGCTGTGGGACACTTGCCTCCGAGTCGAGACTGGCGTCAAGTCGCCTTGTTAGCAATTCGTGAGAGACACAGACCGGGGCTTGCCCTCCCGTAAAGAATAACATCGTCGGCACCCGGCCATTACGCTCTCGGTGTGCACCCGCCATTTGCCAAGGTGAGGCCTATTTGGCTGCGCCATCACTCGTCGCGTCAGCAGCACGGCACACTTGCTGCTTGTCGCCCGTGTTTCTTCCCTCTTGACGCATCGAAACAACTGCGTCATGAATGCGCGTTGCTCATTCTAATGTAATTGAGCTCCTACTGACTGTTTCTGCACTGTGGGTGAAATAAAAGCAGTGGTGGCCTTGTCTAGCTTTTAAATCAATAAAGGTTGAAAAGATAGCGCACGCCACAGAAAAACAAGTTGAGTGCCCCGTCGATTTGCAGTTAGGACCCTGTAAACGAGGGAGGGACATTTTCGTACATTCCAGGTGTCAAAATAGGGTGTTGTGCCACTCTGGGTGCGCTGTCGTGCTGCGAGCCTCTGCACCTTTTTTTTCCCGACCGATCGCTCATGTCGAACTAGCGCATCTCGTCAACCGTTCTGGACCAACCATTTTTACGATAAGTATGCAGCAAAGTGTACGCTTTGAAGTAAGGATGATCATCGTTGAGATCGGCTCGAAACACTTTCGTAAAGTGGAACTGATTCTTGACAAGAGAATACCAAGAAGGGTGTGTTTGATTGTTAACTGCACTCACAAAAGAGGCAAGGAAACTTTTTGTAAACGCGAGAAAGCAGGGATATTGTAAATAACAAAACCATCACATTACTGCCAACTGCAGTCTTGCCTTGTAGCGCTTGACACCACTTCTTGTGCCAGGATCAGTGTGGCCCCGTTTGAAAGTATTGCCAATGACCGCGGAGCTCATGAGAAGCGTGAATGTAACGTAGTTTTTTTTTTTTTTCCCGTTCGCTCTAGATTTATGGTAATGCTAGCACATTCACCTATGCGCGACACTCTCATAACCCTCATGTTGCCTCTTATGAGCCTTGTGTGCCCCGCCGCGGTGGTCTAGTGGCTAAGGTACTCGGCTGCTGACCCGCAGGGCGCGGGTTCGAATCCCGGCTGCATTTCCGATGGAGGCGGAAATGTTGTAGGCCCGTGCGCTCAGATTTGGGTGCACGTTAAAGAACCCCAGGTGGTCTAAATTTCCGGAGCCCTCCACTACGGCGTCTCTCATAATCATATAGTGGTTTTGGGACGTTAAACCCCACATATCAATCATTATGAGCCTTGTGTGCCTGTGCAAATGTCTCGCCTTGTCTCGTTGTAGCAGCAGCATTTTCATTGAGGTATTTGTCCAGTGGAGCCATATGGTGGTGCAGTGACCACCACCCTATTTGTCACTCTCCTATAGCACCATGCTTAAGGCATTCTGCAAAGAGAGAGCAAGTAGTGTGCCCAGCATTGGAACACTCTGGATGAGCGAAGTATATAGGGAAGGGAACTACAGTGACATGTGTTTGTTCACCAGCTCCCTGGCAAAGTTGAGTCCAAAGTTTTTTATCCCTGGCAAAGTTGAGTCCGGGCTTAAAGGGACACTGGAGGCAACACACTTTTTCGCATAATAGTAAAGTACAATTTCACAATCCTGAAAACACCACTCTTACTGCAACATGACTCTTGGGATGTGAGGAAACGCACCTAAAGAAGCAGCTGGTGGAGATGCTACCTTGATATTACCGCACCAGACACTGTGACGTCATAAATTTTGAAGGAGTCTTCTGGATACTACTTGCTTTCTAATCAATAAAATTAAAGCACATTGTCATCGATAGTTGCCATAGACTTAGCATGTGAAGTTTCAGAAAATTTCATCGAGCCAATGTCGCGGAAGTACAAAGAATATATTGTGGAATTTCTTGTCGCGCGTGGAGATTACTACGTAAAATTTCAAAATGACACTTCAACCTTGATTTTCTCTGCTTGCAATGAACTTTTGACAGTGAAACTTAGGACATTAAAGTTCTCTGAGTGCAATCTATCAGTTTAAAACAACTCATTCTTGCTTTTTAGTGCCTTCCCTTCAAGAAAGAATGAAGTATTAGGAGAGTGTTCCTTCTACGGAACAGTAATTATAATCTGGCTGGGTTGGAGTTCCCTTTGCACCCTCAGGCCGCGGGATCGAATCCCGCGTGCCACGGCTGCATTTTCGATGGAGGCAAAAATGCTGCTGGCCTATGTGCTCAAATATCGGTGCACGTTAAAGAACCCCAGGTGGTCGAAATTTCCGGAGCCCTCCACTACGACATCTCTCATAATCATATGGTGGTTTCGGGATGTTAAACCCCACATATCTATCTATGCGTTTCCTTTCTCTAGAGAATTAGAGAAGAGCGAGTGCTCTTCTCTTATTTCCGATCAAGAATGCTGTGTTATGCTGATAGCACACCCGTTCTCTGTGTACAGAAAGTGCTGGGAGCACAGTGATAATGCAGGGAAAGCATACGAGGTAGAAGTGTGGGTGTAAGACACGGGTGTTGGAAAGCGGAATGTGCGAGGGAAGACTTTCATAGCCCATACCTCAGTGATAAAGTTGTGGTACATGTATTTATAATGTAAAAAATAACAGCATGCATGTCATTTTGTGTGAATTGCATGCCATGCATGCTTGTGACATGTCTGGCGATACAGATCCTGGGGAGGGGGAAACAAACAAGAAAACAACTAGCCTCTCATGTAATGTCAGTAACAGTGCATTTGAGATATTAATAAGTAAATGAATATCTAAATAAGTGCAAAGTACTTAAGGTGCACACATCTATGTTCATTCAGTTGGATGTCAAACTGCTTTAAAAATGCGTCTATTTTCTAATGATGCTGCATGATGGAGAGCATTTGAGCAGTAGTCACGACCACAATGCAGTACAATCCTGGTAGTAGAAAACCTAGTTCGTCTGTAGAGACTTCCCAACATTTGCAGGGGCCTGCTGTTCCCAGAACCATTAAGGACATCGGTATAAGTAAAGCAGTGTAACGTTCCAAAAAATAACTAAAGTAGGGTGTTAGTATATAAGTACCTCTTTTCCCTTGAGCTTTTCCAGATTGCAAATGAAGTTGCTTGCAACGCGGCTGTTGGCTGGAAATAGGGGCTTTTGCGATTCTTACTTTGTTGTTATAAACGACAGAGGTGGAAAAGTTCCTGACATAGAGTATGAAAAATGAATATGACAATGTGATGTATACAGAAGCAAGAGGCATATTTTTGTGGGGTCCAACAGATCGTGGTATTGCATAGAAGTGCTCTCTCTTAATGGCAATAACACTGTAAACCCAATGGCACTAAGAAATTGCTAGTCTTGTAAGAGTGGCGCACAAGCTTCGAGCACCATTTTTGTCATCTACGTTTGGGTTGTTTACTTGACTGGTGTGCGGGTTACGGGCAACCGTGCTTGAGTCTGTTTGTCTGGTGGTTCTATATGGTTCAGTGTGCTGACCTGCTGTGCCAGAAAGCAGAAAGAAGCTATTTTTACTACAGTAGAAAAAATTCGTAGTTTCCTGCATAACACACTGGAGGAGCTGCTGCAGCTGCTAGGAGATGAGGTGCAGACAAAAAAAAAAAAAGAAAATTGGAGTGACGTAATGTGTTTCATGGACATTAAAGCAGTGGAGTAAGTAGTGAGACCCCATGGCGATTTATTGGACCACAACATATTTTAACTTATTTTTTCAGTTGATCAATGTTCTTGTCGAAAGACAGTAATGAGAATTGTGAATTGATTTTAATATCACTGTCAATGCTTTGCACAGAGCTGGTAAGCTGGTAAGTGAGGTTGTGGGTATGTGTGCTCTTCATCAGATATTTCCATAGTCTATCTGTTATATCTCCAGTAGCGCAGGGAAGAACAGAATTAAGTTACAGGTCATCATTTGTGTGGTATAACAGACAGCAATGGCGGGTATTGTAACTGGTTTAGAGTGCTGTTGAGATGCAATATTCCGGGGCATGCATTGCGGCATGTTTCTGCATGAAGCGTAAAAGGCACAGTAGTTTTAAGACAGCTGTGAGGGGAGCGAATGTAAACCAGAAAAAAAAAAGGGGGAGAGTATCCTGCCTCGCACGCAGTGTTGTGTGCGTATGTAATGTGGGGGAGTCATACTTGCCAAGTCTCCCGCATTCGGACCAGTTCTTACATTTGTACAGTTGCCTGGAAAGTCTCCCGAAAATCGAAATTTCTGAGCGGTGATCTCGTTGCTTTAACAAAAATACAGCCCAATTCGATGTAGGCCTTTTGCGAACACATCACATAGTCTTTTAGCGTCGTAACGTATGTTTTGAGCACTGACAACACAGCCCACAGAGGTGACCTCCTTCATGCTAAAAGTGTATTTACAGTGGCTGAGGGTGATTTCGGAGACAGCAAGCTGCTTGATAGTCGTGTTAAAGAGGTTTCTGTCATGCTTGGCGTGATCGTAGCCAATGACGAGAAGAACGTCCATGAGGTTGACGACTCCTCTTAATCCGCTCAGGATTTCAGATGTGTTTTGGAAGTATTATGTTGCTGGCATTTGTCAAATGGAAGTCTTGTGAAAGAATTGCATCCAATGGGCATTATGTCATTTCTTGGCATGCTGGGAAGAGAGGGATTTGGTAGAAGCCCAAATTTGCGTCTAGTCTGGATAAAATGGTTTCCTCACCTAATAAAGCGAACAGGAGGGAAAATCTCTCCCGGAGGATGGAAGGGTTGGGGCGGGTGAAGTTCACTCATATTCAGACACCTCTTGGAGGTTTCACTACCGGAATGATTTCTGTGCACCAGTCTGTAGGGCCTTCTATAGGGCAGATCACTCCTTGCTGCTGTGTGCTGATGATCTCCTGCTCGACTGCTGTGGGATTGAGGTGAAGTGTGTACTATCGGCGTCAAATGAAACCCGAACAGCGGAGCGCGTGTTTCAAGCATTAGAAACAGTATAGTGTTGGCCGTTCAGTGATCGCCATTGACAGGCGTGCAGATCCAGTTGGGCAGCACTGCGCAATCCCCCTACAGTGCGTTATCTTCATTTCTGCTCTAGTTTTCCTATGGTGGTAATGGTGGCCATCGTGGGCGTGCCAAGGGCTCTTGATCCTATCACTCGCAATTCCTTGCTTTTACTTCAGCGCCACAGTGCA